TCCTTGCAAAAGGTTAAATAGCTCTACTGCAATTAGCTAACACTAGGCACTCATTGTTTGACCAGAGACTTCTCCAGTAGCAGACAGAAGTGTCCGTGAATTAAGCCTTTATTTCTTACCATTTGTATCTTTGTGCCTGAAAATAGTGATATCTACTTGACGTTGCTAAGGCCCCAGGCTGTTTTTCCCTTCAATCAGGAAAGAAAGTCACTTTGCTGTGTGAGGACAAAGTGTTTGTTCCTTTTCATGAGCATCCACATGTGGTTATGGAAGAGCACTTTAAGGCAACACTAGGACAAGAAAGATAATCAGGGCCTGACTGTTTCTAAGCTCACTCTAGGTTATTTCCTATGGGGAAACCAGATGAGGTCCTGTGCACACTCTTACCCCATGTTGTAGTGTGGCTCCTTGCCCCTCTCCTACTTGAATGCAGTCAAACTATGCACCCACCTGTAACTGGCAGATGACATATTTTTGCATGTCTGTGACCAAAAAAAAAATTAAAAATAAAAAAAATCAAGGGCTTTTGTATGTACTGATTATAGAAAAGAAATTTATTAATGAGAAACAGCATGAATGGCCATACACTTGCAGGTCTGAGTGTATGATTTGCACAAAAGGAAATTTGGCATAAAAGTTCACATACATTTAAAAAAGAAAAATAGGAAATGGGCCTGCTCTGTTTCTATGTAGGAATGACAAAAGAAACTTTGCATTTTGGAGAGGCAAAGATGTCTTTGACACCCTTGAGGAGATATCTTAGGAAAAGATAGACAAGAGGGATGATTACACTTCTTACTAGAGGACTAACTCAGATTACCAGGAGGCAGAAAGTATTTATTCCAGTCATCAGTGACCTGAAGATAAGCCAAGTCAGGAAGAAAAAAACCTGAAGTATTCTTTAATAAAAGTCAGTGACACTATAACCCTCCCACTCATCAATGGGAGGAAAAAGGTGAAGGTGGATCTCCCTATCGGACCAGCCATTTCTTTCCCTTTTCTGCATATCTTCTCAGCATCAGAAATGATTCCCAAGCATGTTCCAAGCCATGATTTGCTTAATTTCTCTCTCTCCTTCCACTCTAGACCCATTTCTTCAGAGTCCTTCTCAACAGAAGTGAGATCTGTATCACATTTGGACTTCTAATCTTCACACCACAAACACTCAAACTACTGTGAGACGTGCTGTCAACATGCAGATTGCAGTGCCTCGGGCACCCACATGGGAAAGGTCTGAAACAACTTCCTTGCCCCTCTTTCTTAGAGAATTATTCATCACTGCTCTTCCTTTCCCTCCAACCTTCTACAGCAAGCACCCAACCACCCATGCCCACCCACGCCTGCTGTACCCCCTGTTTGGTTTGGACACTGAGTGCTCAGGAGGTGAGTGGGATATGCCAGCCCCTGCAGGCTGCTCTGTACGTTCTGTTCTCAGGGCTGTTTGCTGTGCGGGCCGCAGGCTTCAGGCCTTTGAAGGGTTGAATACCATCTTTTGATTTACCATGGCTGATGGGGTATGGGAAAGTTTTACAACTGAAATACACAGAAGAGTTTAAAAAAAAAAAAAGAAAGAAGAAACAAAATAAAAGAAAAAAACAACATAGGAAAGACCTTAAAACCACACAAATGATAATAAGTAATCAAATGGAATAGATCAAAGAAGAGAAGAAAGAGACAGCTCTTAGTAATAGTATTAAATGACTTATAAGAAAAGCACAATTAAATAACACACCACTCAAAACAGTCTTTGTTTACACATTTCTGTCATGGGTTAGACACTTGGGGGGATGCTGACACTCACCTAGTCAGCACTGAGCATACTCAGGTCTTCAGAGGTGATGCTGATGACTGTTTCTCACTGGTAAGGGGATTTTGGCAGGGTCAGATAATGAAGATTTGGTTCTCATTTGTGACATTTTGGCTATGAACAGTCTCCTTAAAGAGTTAGATGTGACTTACAGTAAACAACAGAAAATTAATGGCTCTGGAAAGGTCATTCCTCCTCAAATTCTGTTTCTCCAATAGCAAGGTGACTTTGCCATTTTGATAGAAGGAAAGTCCTGTTTCAAGGAACATATGTGACAGCTTTATAAATCTGAAGAGAGGAGAAGTGAAGCTCAATCCAGGTTCCAACAGTCTAAACTACCCTTCTGTTGAGTCAGGCATAGAAGGAGAGTGCTGACAGGTTTCTACTGATGCTGCCTGTAGTCACTTTTGGGGAAAGATTCGACCTCACAAAAGTTTCCAGCTGAAAAGCTGGCAAATCTGGTATACACATTGCTCCAGTCCCTGCAACCACACAAAAATAGCCTACAGTTAACACAGGGTTTGGTTTACAGATTTTGTCCGTGTATTAAACCACCAATGACACATCTTTTTCCAAACACATGTAGACCATATGTCAATTCTTTAGCCACATGTTTTAGATGCCAGATAGTAAGAGTTGAACAGTGCACCTCTAGGCTAGGTGATGGCGTAATAGACCCCAGTGAGTGTTAAAAGTGACCAATGCCAATCAGGCACACAATGTTGACAGGCCCTGAGGGAAAATATTGTCTGCCAGTGTGATGTAAGGAAAACTGGAAAGGAAAGAGTAAGCTGTAAAAAATTATTAGCATATTCAGGGTAACCTAAATATACCCTTCTTGTATTCACATAGGGTCTAAGTCTAGGAGGCACTGAACACCCAAAAGGAGCAATTCCCCCAATTCTCATTGATTTTAAAGGACGATGAAGATATAACAGAATCAAACAAGTGTTACTTTTCTCAGAAGAAAAAGTGATGATTTTTGATGAAGTCTGGCAGTTTTCGTGCTGTAGTACTTTTCATGTGGGAGTACCAAAGGCGATAGAATCAGCACTTACTAAAATACTACCACATCCCTGGAAGGTTGCGAAGTATTCTCTCTTCAACAAAGAGAGAAACGAACGCATGCAAGGTAAAAGAACTGGCTCGGGGTTGCAAGGGGGTAGTGTAGAGCTAAGCAGATACTCAGCTGCCCTTCTAACAGAAGCATGGACTGCCAGTCTTCCAGTGATTAATTTTATTCTCTGAGAAGAAAACTGCTAGCAATAATTGTCAAGAAAAGAAACAGTGGGGAAAAAAAAAAATCTCATTTTGCCAGATTATTAGCACCAACTCTATTAGATCAGAAGAAAATGCAGCCACATATACACACACACACACACTCTGGAGTTTTGTGAAAGATTCTCTTTGCACATGTAAGAATGCTCAACAGCAATTCTTTTGAGTTGTTGTCCAGAGAAACCCTGCAAATCTATGAAATTTTCCTTCACTTAAAGTTAATACAGGCAGAGATGGCTATAATCAGAAGTTACTGTCCTAGCTGAAGTTGATCTCTTCCCTCTGTCCTCTAGGCCAGTCTGGATAGCACAGCAACTGCTCCTATGCTAGCTAGACACTCAGTAGTGCTTTACACTTCTTCAGTCAAGCTAAGCAGAGCATATATATATTTCCAAACAGGAATTCTATAGCACTGCATTTTCTATTTTGTTTTGGTTTTGTTATAAAAAAGCAAGGGTTTCTATAGCCCTTTATATGGAGACTCTCTGCTTTTAAGGGATATGAACTTGTTTAAATGCATCTTCTTCTCTTTGCTTTCTTATTCCAAAAGCAGGTATTAGGGTCTGACTTGCACTTTCAAAGCCAAAAAGACACTAGAGCAATTTTAAAAAACAAGCTAGTGCCAGAGGACAACTGCTGGACAACATATTGCCCAGGTGAGGATGAGGAAACCCTAAATTCACCACTCAAGCTCATCTATGGTACAGTAAGACCTTGATAAACTTACCATATCTAGCTAGGACAGCAGTTAAAAAACAAGAACCATTTCTAGATGTACAGATGTACAGGGATGTTTTTTGCCCTCTACAAACAAAGCCACTACATGGTTTCCTCCTGATATCACCACAGCAAGGCTTTGAAGATGCTGTTAACTGTTAGCTCAAAAAACATGAAAGCTTGTTGCAGTGGGGCTTAGAATTTTGAAAGCTGACACAAGCTTTCACAGACCATGCACACATCTTCATACAGAGTACCCTACATATTAGAAGAGGTTTAGCATTTCGCACTATCATGATAGTTCTGCCTCTTTGACTCAGAATCTCTTCTTAGTTATATTCCTGGATTCACATAAAGCAACAAGCTGCATCACTGAAAAGTGAAAGAAAGCTTCAAGTCATGTATTTACATTCTTTAAAAAGGCTATTTGTCATTCAGTACAATACTTAAAGACTGGCAAGAAAATGGATCGAAGCTAATCTAATAGTACATTCACTCTGAAATTTTTTTTAATTGTTTTTATTGTTGGACTTATTTCTAATTGCCTTTTTTTATTATTTTCTGGGAAACTGTAACTCTAAGGAGACAGAACATAACCCTTTGGTATGGGGGGATGCACTTTTATTATCGTTGCCTTCGTTTTAACAAAGCCACAATCAAAAAACTCAGGCTTTTTTACTAGATATAAAAAGCCCTAAAGGCTGAAAAATATAGTGGTTAGGAAATAGAAATAATTAGCAAATTAGTAAAATAGACCAAGTTGTATCAAACGCTGCCAAATTCTGTAAAGGACATGGGATACACAGGACTCCTGCTTGCCACCATATCCATTTTGCTTCCCTCCCACGTTTGGCTTTGACTGTTTTGAGTGATGCTGGATGAATGAGGGATGTAACTGATCAAAAGATGGACCAAGCAGCATGTCTCACACATTGCTCACCAGTCCCAGACCAAGAAAGGAAACTTAAAAACTTAAAGACTTAAAAACCAACACTGTCCATAACGAAGAACTGACAGCAAATCTTCATGCAGCAATGCAGAAGAGAATTTCTCTCCGCAAGAGAATATCATTATGAAGGTCTCAGCAGTTATTTTAGAAAACAATCCAATCCAAACAAACCAACAGAAATTAAACAAAATTATTTAAAGAACACTAATCACAAGCCCAAACTAATAGTGAAGGGGCAATGAAAGGTTTTTATACGATACCTAAATTGACCATAAGTTTGACACGGCCTCCATCCAGCTCCAGGCGCAGAGTGTCAGCAGAGTCTCGTGAGGTGGTTGCCATCAACAGCCCATATGCACGCTGGGACATGAAACGGAAGGACACGTCTTCTGCTTCTGTATGCATGACCATAGGCATGATGATCTTCATGTACATGCTGCCATCATAGCTCAAGATAGAGGCCTCTGCAAGGAATCAGCAAACAATTGCAAAAAGTGAAGTTACACCTCTTCGCAATCTTCACTCCTGAAGAACCCTGACATCTATCATACAGCACTGTGTTTACAGAAACCATACCACTCACCACAGAAAGGTATGCAACCGGGGAAAAACACAGCAACTGTTTAACTGCATCCAGCAACCCTATGTGGCAAGTATCAGCAGCAAACATAAATATATGGCATTCACCACAACTGGACGCAGCAGTACCTATGGAGACACAGTCCTCAAGAACAAGTGGGTTAGCACAGAGCCCTTTTGTGATAATGAGCTGGCAAAGCCTCCATTTTTCACATCTTCCCGAGAATGTAATCTCCTCCATTAGTCCAGCCTTCCTTAGCACTAGCTGTAGTGACTACTTCAAATAATGTCTACAACAGTTCTACTAGAACATTTAGTCTTGCCTTTGAAGGCTCAGAGTTCCTATTTCTGGTACTCTTAAGAGCTGTTCCTTACGTAGAGAGGACTTTCATTCCATTGCTAGCACTTTGAAGAAAAACAACAACTGTACGAATCAAGTTTCCTAACAAGCCTTTTCTACATCAGATTTGTGCTGTTTTGTGATTTGATATTTTTCCCCTCCTTACTAACAACTAATGTTAGTTGAGCTCTGCTGACACAACCGATGGCACTGCAATGCAAATGAAGAAAGGAACAAACCAAACACCATTGCAAATTTAAGTGTCATTCAAACACCGGAAAAGTCAGGAGATGGAGATACAATGAAAGCTAGGAGGAGGAAATAGAAAAAAACAGCAAGGAAAGAAATTATATTTTTCTATCATCTCTGAGGATACCAAAGAAAATGGGAAGTTCAGCTGAGGAAAGGAGTTATAGTGCTTAACATTCTCTATTTGTTCAGGGTCTTACCTGCAGAAACTGATATTCTTCTCTAAGGGGGTAGAATTAAAGTCTTGTGATAGAACTGCAGCAACAACTACAGCACGGCAATCATTGTTTCAGTCCGGGAATATGCTCCAAAGCATTTTTATCCATAAAATTTACAAATCTACATAAATATATTAATGTATGAATCAGAGCATCCCTTTTCCCCACAAACAATCCCTATCAAAGGCAGAGCTGTAGAGATTGCTCAATGTAGGACTTCTACCACAAAACTAAATATAAAAATCCCAGAGGTTAAAAGAAAGACCAGTTCAGCTTCCTAGGCACGTGGAAGGATTGCTCCATAAAACACTGTTACCAGTGCCTCATCAAGTTTAGCCACAGTTTTCTCAAATGGTTGGGATTCTCACCAGGCACCCCAGAAAGTTAACACTCCATCTAATTTAACCAACTACAACAACATGTATTTGGAATCTAGATGTTCTCCTTATGTTTCACCCCTTTGTCCCCTATTTCCCAGCCAGGTCACTCATGCTGACAGGAGCGGAACTTCTAGAGGGAAACAGCAAGCTTGGCAGAGCCAATCCTTACATCCTCTCAATGCCTAAATGTTAGATGCTAAAGTAGGGTAGATGGACGGGAAACTGAGGAACAGCCATATGTCTGTGCTTGAAAGGACCCATGACTGGCTCCACAATGGCCAGTAACAGAACTGCAGTGTGAAATAAATACGCAAATGAGGTGATAAATAAGGACATAAGTATCAAGCTGATAAAGTGACAGAGAAGATGTGTATATGGTTACAAAATGTTTGGTGGGGATCACTGTGGTCGTGTTGCTGCAGCAACCCACCGCACTAATAGCTGGTATGCAGCACCTCTGGTCATGGGATATACAAACCCATTGAGAAGAAAACTTTTCTGGAAGCACCATTAAAATAAGACTGCTGTGAACAGCATCCCTATTCACCAGTTTTTTTAGCTGCACTCCCCACACACTGTCATGGTCTGTATGCACAAAGCTCTCTACATGCAACACCCACTCAGCCATACACACACCTTCTGGGTACCAGCTGTCAGTGCTGCGCTGGGGACTCACATCTTCGCTTGGCCAAGAAACAGAGAAGGAAAGAAAGCTTCTTTTTCAAGGTGGGGGAATGGTTTCTTCTTTTCAAAGTGCAATTCTCTTCCCCCTCACGTCTGCACCTCTTACTTGCCACCCACAACTGCAAGCTGGAACTAAATGTACTGTATATTATCCATACACTCAAAGGGAATGCGTATGTACACACAAACCCTCCTTGCTCTCTTTCCTCTCTCTCTCTGTGGATTGTATTAGAAAATGCAGTCAAGCATGAAACGGCTCTTTTGACACCTTCAGCTCAGATGTGCCTTGCATGAAACAGTTGCTTGCCCTAGCACCTGAATAGCTGCGAGAAGGGGGTTGGAGGATATCAGGACTACGAGTGGGAGTAGCTGACACGGGTGCCCCAGCCCTGCTGCTTCCCTCTCCACAGTGCCATGTGTTAGGTGCTTTGGAAACATGAGTTTTTCTGCAGACACTAGAAGACAACAAACTAAAAACATGGTAATAATGAATCTCTTCCCTTCAAAAAGAATTCATATCCTTCAGCTGCACTGACCCCATTGCCAGAAAATTACTGTCCTTCGACAAGACATCCCAACCATTATCATTATACTTATGTAAGAAGGACCTGAAGAACATCCAGAATTGCTGAAGATGGCACAAAAGTCTAGACGGTGTTTCACCTGACATCCCACAGTAGCCTAAATCATGTACTACTGTCCCTTCTCTGGCCAGTCCGCTACAAACAGGGAGCAATGAATCCTTGTAACCATTAAGCAGATAAAATTAAACAGCCTGAAATAGTTGAAACAGCCTCCGCACAACCATAGGAGAGATGATGAGTTTCTGTTCTTGTGTGTGCCCTATACTGACCTGAGCCCAGCCCAGCTCAGACCACCTATGCACTTGACATCTTTTAAAAATAGAGAGATTTCATTCCCACCTTGCAAGTCTTACCATCTGAAGTATCTGGGAGCTTTTTCAGCACATCTCCTTGCAAGCAGACCATTCCCTCCAGCTATGAAAATACCCCTTCAGAGGAGGGCATTGCCTAGTAGCAGTCATACAAATAAAGCCTATTTCCTTGTCCTGACAGTCAGTCCCTAAAACTCAAAGAAGGCATGTTACAGCTGAGCAACACATACAGCAAATCTGCTCAGGGTTGAATGTAACCTGACAACAACTACCTGACCTCAGCCTCCTAGGCACCTGTGCTAGTGCCTTCTGCCTGAATACAGGCATCCATTCAATTGTCCTCGGCCATCTGCAGCAATGGGACTGTAATGCTTTTGTTTAGCACCATAAATACAGCAGCAGCACAGTTATCCAAGTACACGCACATTCCTTTCACCCTTCTCCTTTTTAGGGTAGCTATTACACATGGATGTCTCACAGAGACATGTATAGGAGCAATGGGTGAAACTAAGTTTCAGAGACCCACATATTTGTACAGACAAAAAGATCCAGAGCGGTATTTATTTGCGAACCCAAAGCCAGAAGCTTCATTGCCATTAGCTTGGAGATGGGAAGAGGAAGAAACCAGGTGCTGATTCAAAACCACCCTGACATAATGCCAGAGATCTGTGAAAATCAATGTTATTAGGAACGATTAGCTTCCCAGTCTTGTGCTCTGAGGCCCTGCCAGCTTTAATTTTACACTTAGCATCCAAAGGAGCAATTCACTGCTGCTTCCCCACAAGGCTCTGCACAAACCTCCTGGGGAGATGGCAACAGGCATATTCTTAGAATACAGACAGAAAAATATTCAAGACCTCTTCATGCTCTTTCTCCTGCTTTCTAACCTTTCTCTTGTATTAATCTCCATTCTTCGCCTCTTTCCTTTCTTCTCCCTTTTAGTTTTTCTGTAGTCTCCTGTTCTTCCCTGCGGTGTCTTTCCCCTACAGTAGTTCCCAGACTACAATATAGCTTTCTTCCTGAAATTTCCAAAAAGATGACAGTGCAAAAAGAAGGAAAAAACATCCTCCCTTCATGAAAAGTTTAGCTGAAGTCACCAACAGCAGCAGTTCAGGGCACACGACATATTCCCCCTAGCTACATCTGCAAGAGTCATCTATCACCACTGCTCTCACCAAGCAGAGCTTCCAGAGACAAGTGTCACCAACTGGAGAGGGACGAGACACCTGGCAAGGAGAAAGTGTGGAAAACAGGTATGCTGGTTCAAAACTACAGGGGAATATAGACCAAATGTTTCCACCTTCTCACAAGAATTCAAATATCCTTAAAGAAAAAGTGTCAAAGCTTTGTATCCACAAACCAGACAAAACTTTCCTGTTGGCATTACACAGCACACCTCTTCCCCTCCCATATCCATTAGCAGACACATGGCCATAAATAAAAACATCCTTGATTTTCTGAAAAGCAAAATTACACTTAAAACAAACAAAACAAAAACTACAGAACTGAAAAAAAAAGCCTAAAAAAAGAAAAAGAAATCCTCATTCCTATCCAAGTATGACCTTGCACATCATCTGGCAAGATGGGAGCCAGAAGCTGTGGGGGTCCCAGGGCTGGGCCCTCGCTGCCCAGGGCTGTCCCACACACCCAAGGAGGCGAGCACCACAGACCTGCAGATAGATGGTGGCCGGGTCCAACTGAGAGCCCAGGAAACGTCATGGCGATGAGACAGGTCTGGGGTCAGGAGGGGAACTGAATCTGCAGGCCAGGGCCTGCAGGTGCCACAATCACCAGGCAGGGCCACCGTGATGGATGGGACACAGGCCTGGCTTGGCAGGGCCCATGGCCAGGCAGGGCTGTGGGGAGCTGGAGACCAGCCCTGCTGCAGCATCACTGTGGCAGGGGCTGATGGCCCCAGGGGGCTGACACGGGGCCCTGGGCCATGGGCAGGCTGGGGAAGCCCTGGGGGGCTGACATGGGGTCCTGGCATCTAGGTGCCACTGGACCTCACCTTACTTAGCTTGCCAAATAGGAAAGAGCAACTCAGAGGATGTAAATGTAATTCCCTAGCAAAATACCCCGCAAATAATATCGCTAATCAGCCACTGATAGGTTTATT